TTTGCCTTTTGGTACTGTCCATGGGGTTTTCATGGCAAAGATACTGGAGGGGGTTGCCATTTCCTTCTCCAGTGGATCACTTTTTGTCAGAGCTCTCTGCTATGACCTGTGCGTCTTGGGTGGCCCTGCACAGCATAGCTCATAGCTTCATTGAGCTACGCAAGCCCCTTCATCATGACAAGGCAGTGATCCATGAAGGTGCTACCTAAATAAACAGAAACTTATGGCAGTTGGGATGCATTTTCCCTATCTAGGATATCTGTTCTAGTGTTGGCTTCAGTTGTTATTCAATAGGTCTTTTAAAAAAAATGTGTATCATGACTGAATTTTGTGGATTCTGTATTTTTGTTTGATTGCACTAAAATATTCAGGTTATTGGGTGACCAACAAATCAGTTTTAAAATTACAATATGCATGTATTTAACACTTTTAACATAGTTTCTGCAGGGCAAAATGCTTTGCTTGGAAAGCTCCGCTCTTAAATAGAAATCTCAGTGAAAGGGAAACTGACTGGAACAAAGAGCAAGTGAGGAAGTCAGATTTCAAAACAGGAAAGGGAAAGTGGCTAGCAATAAAAATTTGCACTTGCCTGATGAAAGGTGCAAGATCTGGTGATAAATGTATTTTATTACTTTGTGAAGTTATTCTGACAGTGCCAAAGATTTGGATGCACACACATCCCTAATTGTTGGGTTCAAATTAAATGGGCAACATGTCTAAGTGACTGCCTTTGCTGTGCAAGATGCCTTAAATCAGTTTGCACCAAGGAGCTACATAAGTGTTTTTCTGTGCTCTATTAAAGGAGAAGTTAAGTGAGGTTGTGAGCTCCTGTTGTTGTCTAAAGCCAGTGGTTTCATTGTTGCAATCCTTTGTGTGTATCCCAGCACTAAAAGGGCATAGCAGAACCAAGGCTGCAGGGCCCATGGTGTTACCTGCCACATACTTCCCTGTGCCCTCTGACTTAGTTGCACTCCTCACAGCAATAATATATTGTTGCCTCTTATATTTTTAAATTTTATTTGTAACTGTATCCTGCCTTTGTATCAAGCAAACTGGCACCTGGAAGATTTAATTAAAACAATAATAAAACAATTGTGCTAAAACCAAGCTAGGGCACAATTCCATGCATGAAAGCAAGGGAAAGGGCTTTTAACTTTTAGGAATGTGTTTGTCTAAACAGGCATGGCCCTTAGAAACACAACACTGTCCGAAAAAAACCAATCCAGCTCAAAGTCTTGTTTGGATAAAAAAGGGCCTTTGCTACGGAAACATTCTGGTGAAGGGGCAAAAGTCCCTTCACCAAAGAGCAGCTCCTGTTGGGAATGCAACACAGCTGCCTGCGTTCTTGGGCTCTTGGTGGCATGAGCACTGCCATCCTCAAGATGACAGCCCGGCCTTCAAAATGTACATCGCTGGAGCAAGAAGAATCTCGATAGCCATCAGGATCTGAGGAACAGATGCAAAAGAAAACCTGCGCCAGCGGGAGAGCAGCTGTTTCCGAGGAGCTGAGCGCGAGGACATCAGCGCGCGGGTGCATGGCTCGAGCGCTAACCCTCTCTAGACACGGGCCGCTGGGTGGCTTCCCCGGTCCGGCCGCCGGCTGGAGACGGGCTGGCGGGAGGGCGCACGGGCAGGGCAGGCAGCGCGCCTCTCAGCCCAATGGCTCCACCTCCCGGTACGCGTCGCCTCTCGGCGCTCGGTAGTGGCGCCCCGTTCCGGGAGGGAGGGAGCAAGGCAGGCAAGCGGGGAGAGCACGGCTGCTAGGAGGGCGTTCCGTGCCGGTGCTGAACGGGTTACCGGGCGGCGGCGGCTGCGGGGGCCGCTGCTCCGCTGGGTTCGACTCCGCGCCGTTCGTTGTCTTGTGCTCGGAGTCGGGGCTTGCGCTGCCAGCGGGAAGATGGCGACGGAGGGAGTGAGCGGGGAGCCGGGGTCTGGCGGCAGGGACGATCCGGCGGCGGCGTCAGCAGCGGTAGGCGAAGCGCGGGCAGTTCTCTCGCCTTGCCGTCCGGCGGCCCAGCTCTGCTCTCTTGCCGCGAGCGTGTTTGGCACGAGGCGGTGCACGGAGCCACCGCGCCAGCTCGCGGGGCCGGGCAGGGGAAGCGCACGGAGGGAAGGTGCGCGGGCCCGGCGCGGGTTGTGGAGAGTGCCGATCCGGCTCGGCTGGCGGGGAGCGCCGGTCTTACTTTGGGTGCGGGGTGCGTGTGGCTCGGGTTTGCGGGGATGGATCTTCGTCTACTGCGCTCCTGAGAGAAGAGCAGCAAGGCGGAGTGCATAGAGCTCGGGCGCACCAGGGGAGCGCTGGGGCCGGAGATCTGCAGTCCCAGGGGTGCCTCCTGCTCGACCATGCGCCTTTGGCAAGGAGCGGTGAACACAGGCAACCTTTCTTGTCTCCCCTCCCACGGCATCCTTCCATCTCTCCTGGGAACGGAGGCTCTGGATCGTGGAGGTTTCTGCTCCACGGCGATGGAAGAGGTCCCTCTTTTCCCCCCTTCGTTTTAGGAGGCGGCTCCCTATTGTTTCCCTGAGTGTGTGTGTGTGGTTGGCGGGGGGGGGGGTGGCTTTGCAAACGCGATCTCGTTCTTTTCGACGGGACGGGTAGAGGGATGTGTGTCCCTAAACTTGCTTTGGCGCCGGGGGGTCGGTGAGTGGGCCCTATATCAGAAGGAACTGTCAGCGGCAAATCTCCTGTAACCATTTCCAGGGCTGATCGCCCCCTGGTATTAACTCCCTCCCCCTTCCATATGTGCAGCTTTTCTCCCGCCTCTCCAAGCCCCTGCATAACAAGCGTGGGATATTGTGTGGAGCCTTGGAGGGGATTTGGGAGAGAGGGAGGGAAGGAGCGGGGTGGGGGTTGCGTTTGAATCGCGAACCCTCTGGGTCTTTAGGATAGAAAAACAGGGATCACTCAGGACTGGGAAAGGTTTGCTTGGAGGGGCGGAGGGAACAGATCAGGTGCTTTTCTGAGAGACAGACAGATAACAATAAGCCCACGTTAATTCTCTCTCATTACACCCACCCGCCCCTGCTTCAGAGTGGCGGAGGAGGAAGAATCTATCTTTTTTCATATCTTTGCTGGAGGCTTTTTCTCATGCTAATACAAGCACATGCCACTCTTTAAAATTTCCCAACGTACAGGTAATTTTAGGGTTTGCTCCATCTTCACACATAGTGTTCTGTCAGCCTTTCTCAGCAAGACTCCCTCCACTGCCCCATCCGTGTGGTGGCTGTGCCCTTTCGTCTCTGAATTCGAAGGTCAGGTTCTAGTCCACTTGCTTGTCTAGTTAAGCTGGTGGGGACTCCTTGTGTTGTAAATGGAACTGCACAGAAAAATCCATGGTTTGTTTATTTTCTTGAAAAGTGTACATGAAAATGTTTCTGCCATTTCAATGGCATATGTTGTTTGTCCATAGACAGGTGCCAGTCCTCTCTGCTTCTGCTTGCTAAACTACTTGGAGAGAGACTGGTCCACAATGAGGCCACTTCTTTCCTTCCAGGGTCCATGCAGACTTATATATGAAATCCTGTATATTCCAATCCTGTATTTGCCTAATTTCTCCTCTGGTTAGCACATTTGGTGGATGACTTTAGAACATGGTTATAAATCTCAGTCTTCAGCAACATGTTTTCAGACAGAAAATAAAAGAAATTGATTTTAAAGGGAATTGTGTGAAATGAAACCAAATGGATATACTGTACTTAAGACAGTTCCACACATTGTGGTTGTTTGATCAGTGATGCAAGTACATAATGTGTAAACATCGTACATTGGTACACATTTCAACCACTCACATATATGATTCTGGGGACACTTATAGCTCACTGATGCAGCCCTTACTTTGCATGCAGAAGGCCCCAGTTTCAGTCTCTGGCATCTCCAGGTCAAGTTGGGGAAGAATCCTGCCTGAAGTCCTGCGGAGCTTCCTGCTGCCAGTCAGGGTGGATAGCTCTGGACTGGGCGAACCTATGGCTTGATGCTCAAGACAGCTTCCTACATGAGTTAAAAGAGGGCATCCAAGACACAAGCACACAGATGTTTAATGATGCCTTGAACTGCTGTAAACTGAGTCCTCAATTTAGGTCACTCATTGAATTTGTCAGCCTCCTTGTACAATTTTTAAAAATTAACTCCAGTTAAAATTAACCAGCTGCTGCATAGATACTGACAAAGTAGTAGACAGGAACACAGCTAAACCAGTTGGGTTTTTATTGCTTAAGATATGAGAGGTTCATGAAGTAAACATGCAAGTAATTGAAGAGTGACTTAATATTTGATAGATATTGCATTTGGTAATGTGAAAAAAGGAGGGGATTGTTTAAAATACTGGCCTAGTGTAAACCTGTGTATGGCTGCTTTTATGCTCAGTGTTATTATTGAGAATCAGGTCACTTATTTCTATATAGGGCATTAGAAAGCTATTCATAGGCAACTACCCAATTTGAAAAGTTGTTATTTTAAGGCTAGTAGGGACAGACTTTTCAGTCTTGGTGATTTCATACATGTAAAAAATGTTACATGACTTAAATGTAAGAGAGGGCTATTCTAGACTGCTAGGACATTTCGGGCAAAGTGATGTTCAAGTTTCAGTCCTGGGTGTACTTTCTTGAAAATAAGTCTCTTTGAAATTACTGGACCTTGCATAGGAGTAAATATGCACTGAATGGAGCTGTAAAAGCAACCTTGTTGGTTTCTCTTTTGTATAAAAAGGAAAAGCCAGTATCTTTTCTAACAGATAGATTTTGGAATTTTGCCCAGATCAGAGATTAATTTGTAACTTGGAAGTTAAGTAAGATTTCCAGTAGTGTGTTTTCAATTGAACATAAGCCTTCTGGCTTAGCTTTTCCACCCCTTAAAGTATAGATAGTCCAATAAACAATTTAAAAGGAACAGTGACAGTTATAGAGCAGAGTTCTACTGTTACTTAACTTTTAGAATGGAGATGCCATTTTAAACTCAGTTGCCTTAGGTATTTTATGTTAGCTTCCGATTCCAGGGCATCTTAGTGAAGAAGAAAAACGTTAACTTGCAGAATAAAGTTGGCAGGCTTTTGCTGGAAAAATGCATAGAATATTATGGAAAAATAGCCTTGCTTTTAATGTCAGCAAGAAGTTTATGACTGAGAAAAGAAGAAGGAAGAGGAGGAGGAGGAGAAGGAGGTGGTGGTGGAGGAGGAACATGTTCTTTAATGGCCATATTTGGGAAGGAAGCCAAAATGCTTCACATTCTAGACTTTCCTGAGCTAAGCATAGCAGTTGGTATGTGGGGGCACTGCAAACCTTAGTATCTGCTTTGTTGCCATGGTAATAGTGACATGGGAAAAACCTGAAAGCTGTTGGCATGATTCACCCCTCACACCTACATGAAGCTGAAGTCGGCACTCACAGCAAAGTCTTTGCAGAGGCCAAACTTCATTGGTTGAATGGATGCTTTACAAACTGAAGGTCACTGGGTTGAATCTTGGTATCTCTCAAGACACCTGGGTAGCAGGGTTGCAAGTGCCTTCCACAAGGCACTGGGGCCCATGAGCACCTTTAGAAGTTTGAGGGAGTGTCATGACTGCTGCAATAAAATGGCTGCTGTAGATCCTGCCCATTCATCAAATGACTGCTGTGGTCATAGAATCATGGAACAGTAGAGTTGGAAGGGGCCATGAAGCCCATCGAGTCCAACACCCTGCTGTTGCAGGACACCAGTTTACAGCATGCCACCCAGATGGCTGTCCAGTTTCTTTATGAATGTTTCTAGTGTGGGAGAGCCCATCACCTCTTTAGGCAGCTCGTTCCTCTGTTGTATTGCTCTGACCGTGAGGAAGCTTTTCCTGATGTCCAACCTGAGTCTGGCTTGTCGCAGTTTGAATTGATTATTCCATGTCCTGCACTCTGGCATCAGCAAGAAATGATTTTGACCTTCCTCTTTGTGACAGCCTTTAAGGTACTTATAGAGGGATATCATGTCCCCCCTCAGTCTTCTCTTCTCACAGCTGAACATGCCCAGTTCTCTCAGTCTCTCCTCATAAGGCAGTGTTTCCAAACCCTGGATCATTTTTGTTGCCCTCCACTGGACATTTTCTAATATACCTGCATCTTTCTTAAATCTTAGTCACAAAGTGCTATTTCCCAGAAGGCAACCGATGATGCTAACCTTCTCCAGAGTGTTAATACAAGGCAAATATGGGGTCTAAGCTCTAAAGCACAAAACCACATCTTTGAACTCAGTGCCACGTTTGCCATTGGGAGGCAGCATTTTAATTTGAAGCATGCTAGTGCACCGAGTTATTTTTATTAATTTAAAAAAGTCTCAAGGAAAAGTGTCTTGAGAAGGGCCCAGTTGGTAAATGTCAGAAGGGCCAGGGGCCCAGTTGGTATTAAGAGAGGTGGTGTCTATAGCCACACTGGTGTCCCAGGATGCCACACTGGAGCCTCCAGCATAGATAGCAATAGATGGGCCGACAATTGGACTTAGTGCATTCATGCAGGCTCATGTAGCAAGCAATACTCCCAGAGCAGAAATCCATTTAAATATTGCCCCACATGCAAGCCAGAGAAAATCCCTTACTCTGAAAAGCCCTGAAGAGCATGCAGGCCCCAGCAGTGGTACTACCTGTACACCTGCACTGCATATATCTGGTGCCAACAAATGCTGACTACATTAGGATCTGAGAACATAGTAACAAGTGCTTCAGCATTCCTCCTCCCCCCCCCCCCTAAGGAATGGCATTTCTATGGCCATCACTCTGCCTTGATGACCTCAGAACTAGCCAGCAGAGCCTTGCAATCCATGCCCAAACTCAGGGATGATGAACCTTGAGCCAAATCCCATTTCAGATCATCTTTCTGGGACCAGCATTCCAGTGGTGGGTGGGTAGGGCTAAAGGTAGGGCTAGTGGACAGAACCTACAGCACTCTCCCCCCCAAAAAAAGCATGTGTGATGCCTGTCCACTAAGGACCAGGGCCCAAAAGACTGATTCAGT